CATTCTGAATGGTTGATAGTACAAAATATCAAAAAAGGTATCTAAATCATTATTCCAAACTGACCATCATATCTAAGAAAATAAAATAAAGATATGCGTATTGAAGAAACTGATTGGATGTTAACATACATATGAATTCGTGCATAAAATCAAGTATAATTTAATAAAGGAATAGTTTCGAGGAAAGGTAGGCGCGTTGCAAAGTATTAAACTCTTTTTCGACTTCGATTTATACCATTCCCTTTAAATTTGTAGTTGTGAACCGTACACACGACTTACGCCCAAAGAGAATCTACTTTCATGGAGCGAGGAAAGTCCATCTACTTAGGTGCACGTTGCCTGGAAGCTAGTTTAGAATATACACACAAGAAAAGATATACACAGGTGTGTGTACAGACAGGTGGGAGCAGAAGGAAGTCAACCAGGTTCGCGTAACAGCTCGGAGGTGTCTTTGAGCAGACACGAGAACGGCTTGAGTTTCACGAAGAAAACTTGTTCGTTTCTTTTCTGTACGTGCTTTCGGTACCGCGGTAAAAGCGAGAGAAAAACGAAATTATGTTGACACCTCGGATCAATCGTTGAGGTAGGAAAGGTTATCGGAAAGGTTTCTCCTGTCGTCCAAGTTCTTGCGTTTCTTTCTTTAACCGTGAACCTCGTTAAAATATTAAACTTTCTTGTAATATTCGATGAGATTTCACTACCGCTAATAGAGTAATTTTTATTTTCATTTGATATTTGCATATCGATGCATATTTGGAATTTCAAAAATCATTTATATATTTTCAAATTTTTAAGGCTTCCACGTATTTTTAACTTTCAATAATTATTGGATTAGGTATCGTTTAGAATCATTTGAAATTATATCTTTTTTTTAAATTCGATGGTATCATGATGGTTCCTAGGTGTTTTTAAGCACTTCATTTATATTTTCTTCAAGATATGAGTCGATTCAGAATATTAATTCGAGAAACACGGTGGAGCAAGACGTGCTAGAAACACATTTTTTACGCAAGTATGCAGACTCGATCGACGAGCATTTAAAATGATGATAATCACTATCGAGCGTGTGAAAGTATCGTAAAATAACGTGATTTTAGTTTAAGTCTCTCGACGCTATCGCTTTGCATTTAATGCGTGAAATTTTGCATATTAATTTAGATGCAGATGAGTCATTCCTGTGACAGAGTGTTAAAAACGTAGACTTTTAATTGCGGGGTCATTATAATTAAAAATATTAACATTCAGAATAATTAAAGAATAAACTCAACACCCCAAGCGATTTGAGGATCGTTAAATAACTGATAGAAACAAATAAAAAAATTCTTAATAGCATTAATATTAAGTGTATTAATTTGGTGAGGCAGCCAATGGAAAATTTAGAATGAAAAATGAAACTATCATGTTCTGAATAATTACAAGTATAGTGTGCCATAGCTACTCTATACGGCTGTTTTCACTGCAGCATTTAATGTGTTAATAACTCGTAGTATAATGTGTCTTACCACATACGGCAATTTTCACTGTGGTTTCAATAGGAATATCTGTATCTAGTACAGCATATTATAATATGCATTACCAAATTAATTTTTTAATATACTTCAATTTGGTATTTTTAAATTATTCAAAATTATAATTTCCTTTTATTAACTATTACTATAATCATCGCAGTGTATATATTCAATTCTGATCGGTCCAATTAAATGTTAATTATATGAAAGTCTAATATTGTTATTTAACTAATCTTGCTTAAATGGATAATAAATAATTTAAATAAAATTAACCACCAGGAGAATAATCATTAGGTATATCTTCAGAGAACTGAAATAGAGAATAGAAAATCTGTTTGACAAGAAATGGAAAAGTAAACTGTTACGTTGATCTCTCAATATTTTCCCTTTTCTCATCGAATGAAAGGTGAATCTGTGGTTACAGAATCGGCCTAGGTTTATCTTTGTTGATTGTTTTAACATCTTCAACTGTTTCGGCTAGGCGAGCCGTGAAACAGACTCCGATTTCTCTGCTTCTTGCGAAATCGATAGACGCCTCCACCGCAACCCCTTTTTCGATATGCAAATGCGGTAGACGTAGCCGCTAAAACGGAAATTAGTTTTCGCCAATTGCGGTTTCTATCGTTCTTGCGTTGAAACGTTAGAAGTAGTTCGTTCCTGTTTAAGAATGTTTGCCCATGCAACATGAACTATCATGCACTATCAAAGCTGCGGTATAAACAGTTGATTGAACTAGTTTAATTTAATTGCGTATATTGAACGCAATACTATGCTCATTTTAAATACATTAAAATATTTATATTTCAATTTTAATGTTGATAATTAGTTTTTCATAGGATGAACTAATGATGTTCTTAAATGTGTTAAATTTTTCAAACTTATGTCAATGTCTGTCTTGTTTCCTGTAAATCAGGAATTTTAGACCTATAAAAGCCAACCTACCTGTTGAGTATCCTGTACTTGTACTACTGCTTTCTCATTAAACTATTTCCGGTAATGAAAGCAGTCGCAGCAACTATTAATTTGAAACTACAATAAAAACTTTGTAAAATATCATTTCATAATATCATTTATATAATTGATTACGATACTTTATCACCTTGATTCATTTGAAAATTTTATGAGTTTGAAGAATACTTTTTCTCTCTATTCTATCGTGGATCCTTTGTTCCAATTATTTTCACTTTTTCACCTGACGGCCATGGCAGCATTTTTTCCACCTGTCGTTCAGTTTTCTCTGTCTCTTCGTGTCGATAACCGTTTCTCTGGAGAACCGTTATCGGGTAACTTAACCGACTAACGAGATCATGTTCTCTTTGGTTTAATGGATACACGCGAAAAATGAAGTCTCGTTGAGGTTATTACTTTTTCTTTTGTCCGCTGGCAGACAATCTTCTGATGAGAATCCTGTTCCATTCTACTTTGGATCCAACAATAATTCAATTTTATCTGGATAATTTATAAAAATATTAATATCCTCATAATTTCCATCAATTCTATTTCATATAAAATCAATCGTGGATTTGTTTATTAATATTAATGTTAATTTTTTTATCTGTAGACGTTTATAAAAAGCTAGAAAAATGTCTTTATTAATATCTGTTATAATGGTATTTAAATCTTGACATCGATAGATTAATTTATTTTTATTTTTCAGTAACGACACAGTTATAATAAAAAATTACCTACAGTTGTATCAATAAATGATAAATTACAACTATATATATCTTTCAGAATAATGATTGAAATGTTATAAAAATAAAAATGAAAATGTAAATTTTATGCAAGTTAATTACAATTTAGAAAAAGAATGATAAGTTACGTTAAATTCAATTAAGTTAAATATTTCATCTTATAAATTCCATAGATGAAATAAAGGTCAATAAGATAAATCCATATGTGCAGAAGGATCAGCAATGAGATCAACGGTTTGAAATGCGTGCCACGATGATTCTTAAATAAAAATCAGTCGGCGACATGCTGATGCATCATAATGAATCTCACCAACGTGAGCTAACAGTATTGGGTGTAGAACTACACCGTTGACTTTACAAGAGGTGTGTCAACCTACATTATTCAGGTTTCAAATTCTATGCCTTTCTTTCCGGATGTGACACGTTAGAAGTTCCAAAATCCGTTTTCTTACCTAAATATTTAATATAATCTTTTCTTCTTATCATAAAAATTAATAGTAAATTATGCAAAATTTTCTTTTCAAAATCTGACACATTAGAAATTTCAAAGTTTATTTTCCAAACTATATTTTTAATATAATATTTTCGTTGTTATAAAAATAGGTAATGTAAGTTTGCAAGGTTTCTTCTTTTTTTGTAACATTGATAAAGTATTAAATTTTTCATGAATTTAGTATTTAGTTTTTTTGAATAAAAAATTGATTAGGTGATAAAAATTACAAAATCAATTTTTTTACTTTGAATGAATATATGTCATTAATTTCATGCTTAAATATTTAATATATTCATACAGTATAATTGATGCAGCTGAATCAAGTATATTCTGAATTAACATAATCACTTAACTTCATTAATCTCGGTGGTTCAACGTAGTTACCTTAATTACGAAATACACCACGGTTTCTTAATTCACTCTTTGTTCCAATTTCATGCTTGTTTTATTAACACGAAAAAAAAAATTTGCAAGGAGAATCGATGACCTGCTTTTCAACAAAAACACAACATAAAACTTACAATAAACATATCTTAAAGAGATTTACATTTAACGTTTTAATTTTATTATACAAAAATGGGTTCAAATTTTTCAATTTGACTTTGATTGTCAAATTGAAAACAAATTCCAAAGGAACCGAGAAAACTTTTTTTTCTCAGTTCTATACTTTATTTCATCTGAGACAACCAAAAACACGAATACCTTCGTTTCACACTGATTTCCCCCATGAAATCGGTGAAATTTGTAGAAACTATCCTTACTGATGAAAGAAACGCAAAACTAAAACGACATCTTTTTCTTGCTTCCTCTGTCATTGGTATATAAAATCATGCCGAAACGACGATTCGTTGCGAAATCATTTCGATCGCATTACGACATTGTACAATGGTATCGTGTAATTTCGCTCTCGCCAGGAGATCGCAATTGCACAATTTTCGTCGCGCCAGACGAGACATTCGGGCGGACCTAGAAAGCGTCTAAGAAATGCTAATTCACTCAAGTTACTACTATTTTATGTTATCTGAGTAACGAATATATTAGAATATGTTACTAATGATATATAGAAATTCAAATAAAAAAGTTGTGTTACGGTTTTTAGAGTTAAAATAGCGAAATAATATTAAATATATCTACTATCCAAACTGCTATGATTTGAATGTTCAAACCTACGATTTTATTTGTTTATCTGTGTATAAACCATAAGTGTAAAATTGAAAGATAAATGACGATTGTTTGTGAGTGACTGTAATCAAGTTACAGAAGAAATGGAAATATTGCTTACATTATGTGTACTTTATGTTTCAGTGGTCACGGTACGAGGATGAACAATTACGAAGATCGCAGAAGGCCGCGGACAGGTGCTTCTTCGAAGCCGAGGACTACGTTCGTCGTAGGAAATGACCATGACGAGCGTGGCTGTCGCCCCGGGTAGCCTCGGTGCACCTTCATCTATGCTCACCCCGAAGATGTATCATTTACAGCAGGGGTTAAATTCAACATCGGCCTCACCCACTCCAGGAAAGGTATGTCTCGTTACTAGTATTACTTACTTAATAATTTGATCATTATACTTCTGGTATTCGTGGGATAAAAAAAATATGCAATTCCATTTTGAAAAATTTATTTGAATTTGTAATTTATTATATATTAATCGAAGCATTTTTTTATTCTTTATAAAATAGTATCATGGTACTTGAAACACCTCCACTTCCGCAACTGATACATTTAATTTTTTTTCCAAAATTTTTGTTTATTTTTTAAAATTTATTATATTTCACAAGATATCGTAATGGTACGATACCTATTTGTCCCGGTTTTGCATAATCATTCGTTTATTTAATTCAATTAATTACGTAAACTCCATCAAGAATCGCGTTTCAAGTTTGAACACGAAATAAACGTGACTCGAATTTATGAACAGGAGAGCTAAGGACGTTGTATACGTTTTGATAAAAATCGTGCAGAGAAAGTTCGCACAGGCGGATTGATAATTACAATTCGTGACCGGCCACTTGCGTAACGGTATAACATATATATATGCATGTATGTATATGTAATAACAGTATGTAAGTAAGTTTCCATAGATCGTCTCGTATATCATTTAGTTTTCCTTACTGATTCCTTTGGCTATGTATAGAAGAAAATGCAAATACGATAGTAGGTCAACAAGATCTTTCATTTCATGTACAGTAATTAACTCTAATTTTCTTCTAACTGTATTTTATTCGAACTTTTAGTACCCCGGTATATTTTTACCATAACAAAACCATTCAATATTTTTTGGGCACATTATTGTTAAATTTAACACTAGAACTATCGACGTTTGATGCACACTTATTTTTAAGTTGAAAATAATGTAAAAAATTAAATAGATAAAGAATGAAACGTAGGTAAATTATACAACCATTTTTTATCTTGGCAATAGCCAACATACATTTTAACAAAAATACATCGATAAAATTGATAATTTAAAATTCGAAAATTGAAACCAGTCATTTTGACTGGTTTGGTAGTTCTAGCGTTAATGTAGCATAATTTAAAATTAAATTCAATTGATTGTGATTTGAGAAACACGGGTCCAAAGAAAAATGTTGTAAGAGTAATTTAAAGTCAACCAATGCTTAAGTGAAGTACTCTTTAAGATGACTCTGTATCGAAACTGTTGAAACGCGAAACTTGTCAGCAAGGACGAGTCAGCTCTTCCGATGATGTAAGAGTATTCGCAAGCTACGCGATTTTATTCCTCCAGCTCTCTCACAAAGACCTGGCTCCGGTTTTACCTTAAAACCTGACCTCGTCGGTGACACCGAATACCCTGCTGTTTTCTGCGAAAGGGTTGTGCTCAGGTGGACACTGCTCTTGTCTCTCAGTTCCTTCGTTAAAATCGTCGGATGAAACGTGTCCAGCGTTTTAACATCCGTCTTTATTCCCCTTCGATTCTGTAGTTTCCTTGTGGTCATCGTTGCAAAACAGGTGTAATTAATCGTACACGTTGACTGATTTGATCTTTGAAGAAAAACACGCAAGCAAGTTGTGATACAATCATTCGTGAGTTAATGATTTACGAAATTCTTTGGATATTTATAGATTTATAGCTTACATAAACATATATACTGTTGATTAACACAGTTGACTTATCGTTAGTGAATTTTATTATTTAGTGAAGTTGCTTCCTTAAAAACTGACATTTCGAGTGGCATTCTAAAATTGTGAAAAACCTTTTCAATTAGCAATTTATTTTCAATAAATTTAGGTAATTATTTTTATTATATCAACTCTTTTTATTGGATAAAATAAAAAACAGTCGAATAAACATATGCAGCCTGAAAAATATTTAAATAATAAACTTTGTGATAATTTGTTATGAAATACAAATATACTAAGTGATCTTTACTCTTGAGTTGCATTGTACTCTCATAAATAACAGTCTTAAGTGAAATTGGTATAACAAACATTCCGTCTAATGAAAAAGAAGAAACTGAACTCTTTCTTTGTGTAATGTTCTAATAATTTGAAAATAATTGAAAGTGGTAGTCAAATGATAATCCGCGTTTCAAGTGAAATAAGTTTGTTAAAAGATGTTGTAGACAGGAACAGGTAGTAATAGTAGTATTTAGTGGAATAATAAAGCGATAAAGATAGAGTTTAATCATATTTCAACAGCGCTAATTGACTGTAATGCATTTAACGGTAAGAAAATAGCAGTAAGTTTAGAAAGCATGGTAACACGTTGCAAGGAAGTGAAGAAAGTTGTATTTTATCTTTACTAATAAATTATAACAACTGTCTGCAATGATTACCGATGAAAAGCAAAAATAATTAGGTTTATTAATCGATAAGCTGTGAAATATTTTTCCATTATAATTGTATAGTTTAGTGTCAATGAACGAGGCGATAAATAATGTCTGAATTATTGATTGAATCGTTTTGCAAATTGAATATATTGCGCAGACTAGAGAAAGCAAAGGAGTCGAAGATCGCGATGTCTGCAACGGAAGAAAGGTATCAGAAGTAGATAGAAATCGGATAGAATTTGGTGCTACTTGAAGCGCAAACGTTTCGCTCTTAAACAAAATCATTTGTTTAAACAGAATATATGTATGCAATACACTTTCACTTAACTTATTTGGAAGTATAATTGTTCTTTCAAGTTTCAGATAATGTAAGTCTGTTGAAGAATAAGAAAATAAAAGGAATCTAAAGATACTAATATAAATTAAAATATTATAATGCTACACTAAATACTAATATAGCATTTCATAATTAGATATTGCGCTAAAGATACTAATAATAAATTATAGAAATAAAGCATAATTACAGAAAATTTACGTTTCTACTGGACGTTTCATACTAATAAGAAATATAAAGTTGAATTAAAATTGTGGTTCTCTCCCTGGTCCGTCGTCCGAGGGTTAATTAATGTGCAAATACTTTTTGAATCCGTTATTTGTCTCTCGTCGTGATAAGATATTTTTGGTCATCGTCATCAGTAATATTAGAAGATCGATATTTGATAGAAAGAAGCGGTACGCAATCGAAGACAGGTGAATATGTGCATTATCCTGATCCGATCTCGTAGGTAGACACGGGTGCACGGGCATGAACCGGGGTCACGGCGGATGCACCATAGATGCATCATACCCTATGCGAACACGAGTCTATAGTTACACAATCTTCTGGAACCTGTATTCAGACGATACAGCAATTCGCGAACCGAGACCTGTTTCTTCTTCGACGTTTACCTTACCACCGGATGCATAGCCTCATCTTTTTCATAATCCTGATCCGTGATGTTTTCACTGATTGACACGAAACCCGGATGCGGATAATGATCTCGATTAGATCAGTGCACGCGATCCCATACGATAACCCGTTCGTCTATCCATCGCGTGTCCTATGGATATTTATTTATCTATTTTGCGGACCTATTTCTTTCGGTATGCGCGATGGAACGGAAAAAGGAAACGTCAAGAAAACCGTGTTTTCTCGATTTAATGCGAAGAGAGTGCGTATATGCTTCTGGGACGCCATATCTTGAAAGTTCTATCGTGTGGCATAGCAATGTGGGCCAAACGCAAAACCGGTTGCACGTAAGTCACTTACTACCGTGCTGGTCACATTTGATAGAAAGGTGATAACTTATAAAGAATTTATTATATAGAGGATTTAAAAAGGATTTAAAATAGGGATTGAAAAAATGATCATCATTTTCGTCGTAGTCCAAATCAAATATGATTTTTAATGTTATTTTGTTAGCAAAAAAGTCTAATATAATTTCATGACATAAAATTATATCAATCTAAAGCTCGAAGTTTAAAAAAAAATAACTACATAAAGATTTCATCGATGTTCTGAAATCCAATCAAGGTTTTTTAAAATTCCCATTACAATATCATTAAAATAGTATGCCATTAAGTAATTAATAAACTCGATTGTTAGAGAATGAATAACCCTAGTTCTCTTGATTTTTCTTTCTCATCCCTGAAAGTGATCCTGAAAGTGAACGTTCTGTGTTTCGTCTTCGTAATTGGAATTTACGACCGCTATCACGTTAGCATCCGTAAATTAGTATCCTCGGTCGCATCATTATCCATTTTATGGAATTTTAAGAACGTGATACACTTGCGTTTAATTAGCTTGGGAAGATGAATCGTGGCTCGAATGTTTCATTATTTTTTGGTCAATTAAACTTTGTTCCGATAAATTATCAAATATTTAAAAACATTTTTCTGTGCAATTTTTCAGTATTTAATAAAAATATGGTATTTTGCGTACAATGTATTTTGCAAATACGAAAATTATTAAAATTATAACGATTTCTTAATACAGTTGTTACTTTTGATCGTATAAAATATAGTCCATGGAAGCGTTCTTTTTGCTCGATACTCGCAAGCAGAACGACATAACACGATAGTGTTAAGTAGTGCATACATTTCTCGATGTAAGACTATACTTTTCCAATCGCATAGGCTGACTAGGTAATTTCTAACTTCTCAAGCATCGTGCTGGAATTCGAACGTACAATTTCCTATCGGTCGTTGTTCATCATTGATTCCGGGTCTGTTATTAATCCATTGCGCGAGGAGCGTGAACAAATAAGGTAAACCTAATTACCGATGTAATTAATCTTAACAGTGATCATATGTAGGACTAAATGTAAAATAACGATATTGATAATGCGATTTCAGAAGAAATGTGATGACATAAAGGTATCATAAAATGTCACTTGTGATACATCAATTTAAAACTTAACGTCCGGAGAATAAAACTGTACAAAAATTTTGTTAATAATTTTAATATAAAGTGATTATTTGTTTGTTGCAATAATTATTCATAGCATAAAAGTAACCCAAAATAGCACTTATATAATAAATTTTGTTTCATCCCTTATCTATTTAATACATTATTTTCAACTTAAAGATTAATGTGTATGAAACCTTGGTAGTTCTAGTGGTAAAGTAGTCACTTGTATTGTATCAGCCACTTTTATCAAACTTTGATCTTCAAAAATGAACAAAACATTTTATAGAAATATAAAATGGTTGAAACGGTGCCGCAGCAAAATCGAGTCTATCGAAAGGACGAAGAGAATGGAAAGAATCAAAAGTCGACCACGTGTGACATAAAAGGCAGAAGTCCACTTTCCCTCGATGGCCAAGGCTCGGATCAAGATGACCTCAAGTGATGGGCATCTTTTATTCCTCTCTCTTTTTCTTACCTGTCCTATCTTTCTCTTTCCCTTTTCGCAACAACCGGCACACTCTTCTTCCTGTACCAACTGTTTTCGTTTCCTTTTGCATTTAACACGATTTCAAAAGACCACTTCCGTTTTTCATTTTTTTATATCCCAGCTCCAAGCATAGTATCTCTTAAAGAATTTTGAAATCTTCTTCGTGGTAAGTGTTCTCCTGATCGAATCAAGGAAATCTTCTTCCAGCTGAGATTATCGAACAGTTATATTCTTCTTGATCACGATGAAATTACTATATTTAGAATGTGACTGGTTTATCACGATGCATAGGATAGTGTAATATTATAATGTGAATTCCGATGCAATTTTACCATCTAAAGTGAAGATGATTGATGTGTATTATTTAAATGACATGAAACTTAATTTATATTGCAATGAATTAAGTATAAAGCTTAATGTAAGTGAAAGAAATTCTTCAGCGTGTAATATTCTAAAGTAAAACTATTAAATAGAATTTATAAAATAATTTGTAAATGTTAGATTGTTAATTGGAGAAGGTAACTCGTCGTGATAAAAGATATTATTTTGCTGCAATTGACGTCCAACCATTTTGTACTAAATAAGGACTGGTGCCTGGACAAGGTAATTTTTGTATAACTAAGAGCTTTAAATTGATGTACCATAAGTATTATTTAGTGATACTTTTATGTCATGAAATCGTATTACACTTTTGTCTTTATTTGCTGTAACTCGTATCCAGTCATTTCATATTAAGAATGTTAACTAGTTATTTTCTTTAAACTTTCAGCTTAAAATTCATGTATCATATATGTCATTTTGCAATACTTTCCTGTTATGAAATCGTGTCAGACTTTCATATTTCAAAATTTGCCATTTGGAAAACACCTGAATCCCATACTAATTGCAAGAATATTCTAATTTTCATTAGCAGAAGATCAAGTTTATTGCAACCATCTTCAAATAAAAAAAAGAAAATTAAGAGGAAATTATTAGTCGCGGAAGTATCAACATTTAATCGGCAAGTAAATTTCACCACGAGTGGAAAAATCCGTCGAAAATGTCACTGGATTAAAACCAGTATCCGTTAGTCTGAAATTTTGCTGGCCACGCCCGTTTGCACCTGCGATATGTATGAACACGTTTCCACGACTGTTTAATCCGTTTCTATACGTCGATTTTCTCGTTGTTTCTGAAACGAACGTACTGGCCGCTTCTCTTACGTGAGCTTCTGGAACACGAGACTTTTACGAAAGTCGAGTCGAGAAAGTAAAGCGTATCGAAGTTTGCCTTCGGGCCAGCTATCTGCTCCATTTTCCGACATTCGTGATGTCATATCATACGATATCCGCTTTTGAAATACGAATAACCTCCTTTTCCCACAGGGAGGAAATCGCCATAAAGGAAGTTCACGATTTTTATTATTCCTCGACGAATCTGGAAACGAACACTCCCTTCGGGCTCGAAGGATAGAGGAAGTCATTTATCGTAATCGTTCATTATAGTTATTAAACGTTCTTCGCGCTGCCTCGATGATCCCTTGTAATTCCATGAATACGTTAAGGCAAGTAGATAAAAGTAAAAATGTGAAATGATCCTCTGTTCGATCTCATCGAGGAGAAAATGTGAAACGTTTTTCACGTGGGATCTTATGAAAGTAAGAGGCGTGCTAGGTGTTTGGGTTTTATAAGAATTTAATCACCGTTAAATTGATACGATGAATTTTGTTACTGCGAAGAATGAGCATTCTCTTTCTGCGAATAAACCATTACTCGTAAATTGTCAACTATGATTTTCTCTATTCGAATCGAGATAGTCTTCTGTTATTACTTTAATAGTTGAGTTTAGAATTTTGTAAAATTAGAAAATGAAATAATCTCAATCGAAATAATTATAATAATAGAACATTTAACATATTAATAGTTAATTACAGTTACAATACATTTCATAATTAATAATTAATTGAATCATAAAAGAAATTGTAATTACTGATCTACTGAAGTTGTAAGTTACTTCATTTATACTTGTATATACATGCTAATTATAGTTAATACATAATGAGTGCAAATTTGCATATTTAAAAAAAGCTGCAAAAAGTTGTGTAATTTGATAACAAGGCAAATCATAATTGATGATCTTCTGAAGTTATAATTAAGTTATTTCACTTATACTTGTGTATTATTTTTCATAGTTAATAATGAATGTTCGTTTGCATATTTACAGAAAAAAACTGGATAAGACTATGTAATTTAATTACAGTTTTATGAATGAAGTTTTACTGAATCATTAATTATAGATTAAGTTGGGTAATTATTTAATGAAAATATTAAAGCAATTAAAGTAATATTTTAAGAGAGGTGGTGATTAAAATATTTTATTCTTTTTCCATTACTTTACTAGAAATAGTTATAACTAATTATAATACTATTTTTACTGTATGAAATGAAACATTTTTAATGAATTGCAGATATAATCATCTGAAAATGAAAGAAAACATAATTTGAATTAAAATAAACCCTGAAAATATAATAGTTAGTCTCATATTGAGGAATATAAAAATATTTTTTAGCTCTTTCATTACTTACAGTAATTTCCGTTCAAAACCTTCATACATTTTAATGAACGATAAAATTATGAGATCTAATGAATTAATAATTATAAATCTAGTCTTCAATTAAAAAAAAAATTCTAAGTCATACTATCGCTTACCACTACACTTATTAATTTTCTGCAATTATAAAAGAAAAAAGGGCGCTCGCCTAATTTCATATATTTTCTTGAAAGATCATAGATCGTATATAACCTTGGATCACGCATGGCATACACGCAAATCCCACCTTAATACTTTTCTTTCATTCTCTAGAAACAATAGTCGAGGGATAGCAACTACTGCTTTGTGAGTTTCCTGGTTTCATTAAGCTTTCGCTTTTCAGGCAACTCTTGTGTTAATTAATTATCGTATCCTGTGTGTACTTACGATAAAACTTGAACCCATTATTTGAATTTCTTATTCTTGTTCATTATTAAAAATGTAATTTTAAATTGTCAAATATCAAATACATTTTAATATTTACAAATGCAATTATATTTCTATAAAAAGCAATTATTTTTCACGTTAGAAAAATTCTACTGCTTTTGCAAATTTAAACAAAAATTACTTGTTACAAACGATACTTAAATCTCATAAAATGAAACTTTTGTACTAAAATTAACTTACAAAGATTCTTACATTTCTTTTGAACTTGATTTCATCCCTATTGCAATCTAATAATTGCCAAACGAAGATAAAAATATCAGAATTTGCATATTGCTGAAATATAAACGCGTTTTTATTTATAAAAAATGAAATTTTTCCATTTACAAAACCTGTTGGCAAACTCGTATACCGTTTCACGAGATAGATTTCCTGTCTTATTTAAAAAGAACGTTTCTTAAACCAGAAAAACCAGGCGATGACCAGTTCAAATATTTTTCAATCCCCATTTTTACGATTTTCTATAAATAGATTTTTTTCACGATCGACCATAGGCTTGAAATAATTGTTTTCTTTTTATTTGCGAAAGGGAAGACGTCTTTGTCCTCCCTCGGTTTCTCTTCTTATTCGAGACCCAGCCCTAAAACGAACCCGTTTGTGGCAGTTTCACCAGGGGAAAACAAATTTAAAATGCGATCTCGAATGATTCCTACCGACTTTACTTTCCCTGAAACCTGTTGTTCCTTCGTTTTCTTTTTCCCCCTGCTTGTTTCTTCCTTTTTTCTTTCTTTCATTCCTTCTCTCTCCTCTCACCCTTGCAATCAATACTCGAATACATTCACCACATATAATTATTCTCAATGGTCCGTTCCATAATTTTTAGAATCAAAATTTATTTTCATGTAAATTCAACGCGGACCAATGACATTGTTAGATTGTCTTGAAGACTGGCATGTTTTGTTTTTATGCACTTTGCACGAATATAATTTAACATCAACATTTGGAGTTGCGGTACAATACGTGCGTCTCATTGAGAATTTCGTTTACTAAAAGAGGATATCCTGTCGACAACGAAAGTTTCACGTACACATTCTCCCTTTCGAACGATGATAACAAGCGGCTAATTATTCGCAACAAGTACTTGCACCGAATATTAACGATGTCATTAAGTAAAAGATTTCGAATCTTAAATAACGATTGATAAATATTTATTTGTTTCAGAATTACGACACACTGAGCAAAGGAAAAAAGTCGTGGAGTGTGAGATTGGGTCTATCGAGGCAGAATCAGAGCACCGATGATCCCGGAAAAGGGTGGGGAACGATAAGCGGCGGTAGCGGGATATCCCGTCAAATGATCTATGGTGATCCATGGCTGTACGGTACGGTTCGATCTTCGAGGGCTGGTCACGAGCCACCACCACGATTCATGACACCACCACCACCGCCGCCACCGGGAGCACCAGTACTGGTAGTATGTTCCTGTCCAGAATTTCTCAGTGGAACGACCAGGAAGTTCGGCAATTGCCGCAAGTGCGGTGGTCACCGATTGGCTGGTGTACCTTTAGGAGGAACATGTCGACTTCCGTCGGTTTCCTCGAGATCCAGGCCCAGCCTCGCGGGTAAGTACCTTTCATAATAGATAAACTTTAATTATTGCTACTTTTACCTTTAGCAAAGATTCATAAAAATATGAAATATGTATTTATTTTATAAGATGGTGATAGGTGAAAATTCAAGCATAGTAGCAGTTATAAAACTTAATAAATAATTATAATTTTTTAATTCTTATAATCATTTGTCCTTCGTATTTTATTGGTGCTTCAAAGGAGATATAAGTTACGAAAAGATATATTTTGTAATTAACACGCATGCCTTTTAGACCAATTAGCATTTGTTAATCTGCTCTAAATGGATATATTTGCTGAGAGTTCATAAGTGAGTTTCTCGGGCGACACGTATGCCAGGTGAAACTGCAATTTCATTGTTTTAAAATGCTGTTTTATATAACTACACATGTATCTGTATCTGTGACAAGTGTTTTCGCTGTTATGTCTCATCTTTGGAGGTATAAATCATAATACTTTAACAAATACTGAAGAATATGAATATTTAAACAGCCTATTAGTATTGTTAATACAAAATGGCTAATTCTTTGTTGAAGCAAACAATCGATCAGACAAGAATTATTAAACAACATTGTTCGTTTCAACGAAGAATTACCAATTTTGTATTAAGAATATTATCAGAGCATTTATGTAGTTGTGTCCAGCAAACTTTGTGCTTAAAATTGACGTGTCATAAGTGCAATTATACAATACTTTTCTGTCATAAAATCATATCAGACAAACTAATAAAACTCTCTTATATCCCTGTACTAGGACACCCAACCTAAGAGACAAATAAACATGTAGTGTAAATTAATGAACGAAATAAAAACTCCACAGGGGTGTTGAAGTCATCGATAGACGATCCCTACGACCAGATGCGTCGGAACCGTCTGATGGAGCCGAGGACCCGAGCCCGCAGTATTTCCCCGCACCGGCCATTGTCTCAACGGGATTCTCGGAGTCAGAGCGTGGCAAGGAACACGAAGGAGCGGAAAAGCTCGATCGAGGGTACCTGCTCGAGGTCCGAATGGTTCGACAAAGAGGCGAGCTACGAGGAAACGGCGCGAAAGTCACGAGCGAGCTTCACTGGTGCATCCACCGGCGACGATTGGCTAGAGGAGGCACCTTCTTCGGAGCAATCGCGGGGTCAATCGACTTCAACGACGCCGGGCAGACTGGTGCGGATACCGAAAAAGATCAAGGGCAGAGATTGGACGGATCGTGGGCTGGTGAAATCAACGGAGGTAAAAAGTAACCAGGACGAGGTATGGAAGGAAAGACCGTCGAGTGCCGGTGATTCGAGAAGAAGCATCCTCGAGTGCGATGTGAATCCGTATCTTCTCTTGAAGAAGCACAAGGACGAGGACGATTTAAGCGACGATCTGTCGGACAACGCTCTCGAACAGGAGGACAGCAGGCCGCTTTCGAGTCTCTTCGATTCGTCGAAGGTGAAATCGATCGAGAGGATACCGAACAGGAGCGCGGTGGCGGCGATCGGCGGCCAACGAATCAGGGTGTTCAACGAGCCACGGGAGATCTCGGACGACGAGGAGATCCCGCCGGTTACCAGGATACCCATACCAAAGGTTTCACCGAAACGGCCGCCGAGACGGTTGAAGGAAGCCAAACAAACGTTGAAGAGCATTCTGAAGCGGGGGAAGGTGGTCGAAACTAGAAGGAAGAACGTCCTGTTCAACGTCGACAACGTTATATTCGCTCCGGAGAAGCCGTCCGAAGTGACCCGACTATCTTGGAGCAGAATCGGCAGGATCTGTGCTTCTGGTAGAGAACAAAGAGACGATGAAGAGTCAGGAGATGAGGAGGAAGACGATGAAGAGGAGGAGGAGGAGGAGGAGCCAATAAGTTTGCACGATCAAAGGGAAAGGTACAATTTTATTACTATTCCGAATATCAGGGATCCAAAGGAGGACAGGGTACGATTGAAGGAGCCCAGAATCTCGCAGGATGTGTGCCAAAACCCCGTTAACGTTGACGGGATTAAGGTAGATCAATTTGTACCTTCCGGCAATGCGGAACGTGCTTTCTCGAAGAAAAAGAAAGAGAACGTACAGTCGTCGCGGCATAACGAGGATACTTCGAGAAATTTTGGTGATCAAAGTGTTCATTCGTTGAGACAAGAGAATACGAAGGAAGAAGTTGAAGAAAGGAAAAGGATAACGGAAGAAGAACAAGGGAATAAAATGGAAGAGGATACTGAGGTGCAGATTAAGATCGAGGAACATGAAGATCGTTTTCCTAGAATTGCTGTTGACGAGAAGGATTTGATATTGAAATCTGAGGGTGAGAAATTATTTATTTTTTATATTAAATACTATTTTCTTCTGCAACTGCATGTAATTTTAACATTTTATAAATGGGATCACTGTACTAATAATTTATCTGAAGAGGAAATACTTAAAAATATTTGCAAATGTTATATAAGGTGCTATTCATTTTAACCCATTAAGGATAATTTATTATTATTTGTTAATATACAAAAAATATATTATTATAATAGATAATTCAAAGAAGCCCTCTAAACATTACAAAATTTATATAAATACTTCTTGAAAATAAAAAACATGCAAGAGTATGCAAAATTTTACACTCGGTTTCTGAATCATTTTGATCAAACGATATTATCTGTTAACAATGATAATTTCACGAAAAATATTCTGGTGTTAAAACTCATAAATCATCAGATGGTTTACAGAGTTCTCATTTCTCTGTCTACCACGAGTGTGTAATTATCCTTTTCAGAGATCTCACGCGTTTTCTCTTCTTTTCATGGCTATTCACTTGCACGTGATTATATTTATACAATGGTAGACCTTGTTTGCTGAATGATAAGTTCACATATTTTTTGTACATCATCAATTACTATTGAACCTGAAATTATCTTCTCAATGATGCATTTTTTTTATATTTTTATTTCTACCCTCACTTGTATAACATTTACTTTTTTCTACGTGTTTGTTTTACCAGTTTTATCATATTATTATTTATAATAAAATATCGAGCTTTTTATTCTATCTCAAAAGAGTTAAAAAATTATAAAATCTGTTGATTCGATTAATACTATACTTTCATTTTATTTGATTTTATTTACATAAAGTTCCAGAGAACTCCAAAAGATCATCACTATCGCGCAGCCAAAGCGAGCGATCATCTAACAGACCAGAAGTATCAGCTGGCGACGTGCTTTTCATGGACACTATGCGTATCAGTCTCAGTAGAAAGCTCAAAGACACGCCATCTTCCCTAAATTCCAGCGAACAAACCCTTCAACGAGAAGATTCGATCGAATCCACGAAAGAAACCATAGAAAATCCAAACCCTAACGACTCGACAGAAACAGAACATCAGCAAGATGTGTCAATAGCGAAAGAACCTGAAGAAGTGCCTCAAGATAGAATACAAACTACTATTAAAACAGAACTAGAATTATTAACAGAGTCTTCTAATAGTTATGAAAGAAATAATGACCATTTTCGAGGGATGAGACCAACCAGCTGGTCTCCTCCCCCTGGAAAACCTAAGCACCGTTACAGAATCAGTGATCCAGGTGTTAAAACCAAATTTTCTGAACAATTTGAATCAAATGCAGGGTTAAAAACCAGCTGGAGAACATCGAGTTGCTACAATTCTTCTAAAGTCGAAATTGGCACCCCAACGACAGAGAACAACGTATACAAGATTACAGTGAGCCCTCGAGCTTCTCCTCTGGTCCATCGATTACAGATTGGTCCAGGGACCAATGAATCAAGAAGAACATCTATTTTGATCAATGGCGACGCCACAGCACCCACTGCTGAAACCACACCCGACAACAAAGTGACCATCAGTGTGGGAGGCGAAGACAGTGTCTACAACCCTACAGTGATCTCAGTGAATTCGGAGAATCTTCCTAGAATAAAGACTTCTGGTGAGAATCGCACGCTAGTTATCCTGGAGAATTATAAATCGAACATCGTGGTGGAGAGTGGCAAAGAGGATCCCAAGTCGAAACTGAAGACGAGATCGGAGTCTGATGAAGAGGATGTTTCTGGGAAGAATAAGGAAGCTGGAGAGAAATCTGCAGAGAGGTCTGAAATGAAAGCGTCTAATACAGAGAAGAGTGCAAAGTTCTATGTGACGAATGATCAGAAGAGTGATCAGAAAAATCCAGAAAAGACGAAACTGTCAAAAGAAGCACTGATCTCCAAGTTGTTGGAGGATTCTCTGAGAAAAGCGCGGGAAAACGGAGAGATCTTGAACGAGGACAGTGGCGAGGCGATCCTGAAGATTCTTAAGCAGAGTTTACTGAAGAGCAAGGAATACGAGAGCTCTGAATCGACTCTTGAGGCGAATTACTCGAGAGCGTCCAGCTTGAATTCCGAGGGTGACTTCATCTCGACGAATCTGTTTCTCGAGGAGAATCCTTACGAGGTAATCAAGGAACCCATTTATGAAGAGATCCCTGACGAGCCTCCTCCTCTTCCACTCAGCCCACCACCCACGGAGGATTACATCAAGGATAGAATATACTTCGGTGATGTGGATTACTATAGGAAGAACAATACCGAACAGTTTCTTGACACCTATCTGACGGACAATGTCTTCAAGAAGACCAATCCTGAAGATATTACCGAGAACTATTTGTCGAAGAGCCCTGAGGATTTCTTCAAGAAAATGTCCACTTCGCCGGAGGAAGAGAATATTTCCAGTAAATTTGAGTTACTTAATTTTCTGATGGACTCGAAAGATCGAGCGATATCGGTTGAAGAGGAGGAGGACGATGATGAAGAGGATGAGGAAGATACAGAGGGTGACCTTGAAGCTTTGTATGAGCAAAAGGAGACTAGTCTTGGGGACCTCAGCTCAAAAAGCTCGCAGATATCTAATGTTTCTGATAGCAGCGAAGAATGCAATATTATATTGACTAGTTCCTCGGAAACATCAAAGGTAAGTTTTCATTTAACTCCTTAAAAACGATTTAGCACTCATTATAATATTAATAATTACTGTAATATTATTGAATAAGTATACCACCTAATAAATAATTAAATAAATATTTTCTCATAATAAATACTTACGGTTATCTTTGAATGTATCATCCATTTTACCGTACAATAAAGTCATGTTTACAGTTACATTAATTTAAAATTCATTGTGATAATGTAGATAAATATCTGAAAAACTGATGATGCGAATACCAATGGATTTTTACAGGCCAGGGCTGTAGATATAGAAAGAACTGATAGCGGAGTTGGATCAGAAAGTAGTCAAGCTAGCAGCACTCGAGGCGTGCCAAGACGTTGGAGAACAGGAAATGTCTCTTCGGGACCAGGAAGTCTCCTCAGTGGAATCCCACAAGTGATTTCCGGTGATTCAAAGCTCTGCGAGGATTGCGAACAACGTTTGGATCCTTTAATAACTGACAGGTGAAACGATGATGTTACAATATTAATGAAAGTTTGTCACATAAGATTGTTTTCTTTTATTTTTTTAATTGTACGATTGCATTAATTTTGGATCACTTTGATCCATATGGCTATTATCGTGTTAAACTAGTATAAATATATTTTAAGAATTATATTAACGAGTAAATGCATTTGAGAAATTAAATTAGCATAAATACATTCCGTTGATATTATTGATAGTTCTTCAGGAAGTGAATTTTTACGGAATAAAATGCATACCATTTCAATAATAATCATGAAAGACAAACTACGTAACAGGTACTTAGAGTCATTGAATCGAACTTTCTCCTACCATTGATTCTGTTTACCGTCGTGAAAGTTTTATTACCAAATATGCATTAACTTCCAGTAAATTGTTATATCAATACCATAAAACCGTTCAAACCTTATTATTAATATACTAATAACAATACCGTACAATATCATCAATTTTTAATTTAGAAATTGAGCATAAATTAAAAATTAAGAATTAATAATTCTTTTTTACAGTGGTGTGGTGTACGCCCCCTTCGTGTGCAGAAAATGTTCCAAAAAAAGAGTAGAACGTAAAGAAATCATTACAGAAATTGTAGAGACTGAATTGAAGTACGGGAGAGATTTACAAATCATTCTGGAAGAATTTCATCGACCTATGTTGAGGGCTGGCCTTCTTACTTCTGATCAACTTACAGCAATTTTTCTAAATGTGGAAGAACTTCTTGAGCACAACCTTGTACTTGCAGAGAAATTGAAAGATGCCGTGGAATTTGCTCAGGTGAACATATACATGTGATGGTGGTTCCACGAAATCTAAATATGTTTTGTTGAATATAACTTTCTTAATTAGTAGTGATAGATTCAGAATTGATTATTGATACACAGGAGTCAGGGGACGAAGATCTTCTGACGGTAGACGTGGGAAAAATCTTTTTGGAGTCTGAGCGGATGCTCCACGCTTTCGAAAGCTACTGTACTCGTCAAGGAAGCGCAAGTTTATTGTTGCAAAATTTAGAAAAAGAGAAAGAGTTGTTACGAATCTTTTTGAGAGTTTCCCAAATGGAGAACACGGTTTTACGTAGGATGAATTTGAATTCTTTTCTTATGGTGAGAGCAAATAAAATTGAACATTCTCAAAATACAAAGCATCCATTTATTAATATATCTTTTCTTTCTTTCAGGTTCCAGTTCAAAGAGTAACAAAATATCCTCTCCTGTTGGCTCGGTTATTGAAAGCTACGCCATCTGTAAGACCAGATATTCAAGAAGCTAAAGAAAAACTAAAACAGGCTCAAGCTAATATAGAATTGCATTTGGAACACATGAACGCTGTAAATATAACATCCATTCATATATTGAAAATATTAAATAACAAGTATTTGATTAAATTATTGAATGATTGAATCTACAGGAAGCAAAAGATGTGACATCAACGAAGCTCTGGAGAAGAATTTCAATTATACAGAATGGTAGACGGCCCATTGGTGAACAAGACATGGTGAACATAAAGTTGAGGAAGGTAATTCTATGAAACTATATAAAAATATATTTTTACAAAATACAAATGTGTTAATGAGCTTGAGTTACTGTCTACTCCTTCATGTGTAATAGAATGGTGTAAAAGAATTACAAAACAAAGGGTGTTTAGAATATCAAGTATCTCAAGAATTTCTAAAATTTAAATGTATGTTAATCGTGTGTCCGACGGAATAGATGGCTGTGGAAGTGTTAGAATGGGCTCACGAAGAAGCTAAATTCGTTTTGGAAGGACGACTTTTAGTTGCTCAACCAACAGATAACAATTGGAGACGCGGGCGAACCGTCAAGCTTGCTCCTGTTACTGCCATGCTGGTTACTAATGGCAAGGTACCTAATTACATATTTCTATTTTTTATTCATGAAACTGGGTCAGGCGATAATTCTAAAGTAGTAGAAAATAGATGAGAATTTTAATACCCTATGTAGAATATTCTGAAGAATTATTTCATGTAAAAAAAAAAATGACCTTGAAATCTTTGAAACTTTCATACTTCATTTAATATCATTTAATTTTTCCTAATGACATATTTTTCTATCTTCTATCGTTTTAGAGCTGTAGTTTGCTCCAAACGCATGGGACACTTTGTATAATAATTCTGTTTTTATAGAATTATTATAAATAATTTTTTTTCCATAGCCAAATGGAGAGGATCTTGAATTCAACGACGACTCTCTTTTCCCAAGACAAATAGGTATCAAAGAAGCTACCCTCTTGTTGGTAAAAGAAAAACTTGGTCGTTATTCTTTACTGCGGGTAAGTTAATCAACAATTTTGAATCAAGTGCGTAGTACTTAAATATAAACTTATAAAATTATTGTTCATTTCAGGAACCGTTGTATCTTGATAAATGTATAGTATGCTGTGAAACAGATCTTGAGGATTATTTTGAAATTCAAGAATTATCGTCTAAAGAAACTTTTATATTTAAGGTAGGAATTCCGTAGTAGAGAAATATATTAATATTGTTATTTTAAAATAAGAAAAACATTCTCATAAAGATATTTTCTATTTTGTTATAGGCTGAAGATGGAGCCAGAACAAAAAGATGGTGTAGAACGTTACAGGCCCACGCGCAGTCTCTCGGTGCATGGCGCAAACGTCGTGGAGCATTGCCAAATATCATGATATGCGGTGTCGCGAGAAATTAATAAAGAATCCGAATTACATGTAAAAATCAAACCTATATTACATTTACAGCTATTATTTAAAGGTTACGATGATTCCTAAAGTGATCAAACATCCGTACGATCTCCAGATGACTTAACGAGGAGAATGTGTTGGACCAAAGGATTTCCTCTGCTCATTGAAGACACATGTCAATGAGTAACACGAAAGTCTAGTTCTCACCGCACGCTTAAATGCGTTCGGTTACAGTACGTTGCAGAAACTTAAGTTTCCTACGTCGCTGTAGTCAATACGTTGTATAGCGTCAAAACGCATTAAGCTACTTTCTTTACTTTTTCTTTCTTTCCTGATTTACAACTGCGCACAAACACCAGACCGAGTTAATTAGCTACATGGTAGAACTGTTTAATTGTAATTTACATTGAAACCGAAAGAGCAGAGTAGCTGTGATACTGACCGGTGTACTGGGTACTTTCACGTATCGCAATGTCAAATTTTGCGATTTCTTTCCTATGTAAGTACTTAATGAATGGCACTTAAATTTTGCGAGAACATCGATAATAGTGCATATAATATTTAAAAAAAAAATGAAGTAATAGGGTAGTCGCATTTTGTACCTACGATTTATGAGAACCAAGAAACTGCCAAATGTTTCGTAAACCAAGCTTGACGATTTATAAATTAATTAATTTACCGCATACATTGATTAATTATTATTAACAGTATTTTATGCCGTCTAACACATAAAATAGGAATTGTACATTGTACTATAATTTTATTTAAGATGTAAGCCATATGTTTGTATATAGATGTATATTTATACTGAGATTGGTTTTAGCTATACAACTGTTATATTAAATACATAATTCAATAAAAATCAAATATACCTATTTGTATGCTATATATTGCAGCATAGTTAAAGGATTTGATGCAAGAACCAGGCAGTTCCACTTTTTGTAGAAATTGAGATTTTATTATATGTTTAAGAAAGACATATTGTAAACAAATTTTTTTAATTCCTCTAAAATTAATAAACATAGAACTGCTCGGTTTCTATATCCAATCCTTCAATTAGTATTTTACCCTTTTTACGCCATTCTTTCAGAGCGCCATTCTTTGTGTCGGATAGAGGGCGCAGTTCATTCGTTTAGTATGCTCGACAGTGCAATCATTCGCAGCTCGTGTATGTGATTAAATTGTGTATTAGGTATCAAAAATACAAGAAACAGAAAACAACGTTGAAAAGAACTTCTGACATCATTTCCATATTGTCTTAAGAAATGCGTAAGCTGAAAATTTATACCCTATTTTGTCAATATAGATACGAATTAAAATAACATATTCCTCATTTATTCTGCTTTTATAGTGATGATTTATTAAATATCATTAATATCTTATGTATTTTTCTATCTTTTTTATTATTTCGGTGCTTTAAAGTGAAAAAAGTAATCTTAACCTTATTTCAATATGGCGTTGATAATTTTCAACGAATCTTTCCGTTCTTTTAATGTTAAAGTTTCAAAGCGATTCGAAGTTTCTACCAATGCCTGTGATTGGTCGTTCCATTATGGCGTCCTCCTATTTAGACCAATCAGATTCATCGTTGAAGGGTGTGATGCACGGAGTGTGGTGGAGTGAACAGTCCTCTTCGAAGCTTCGTTCGTTTGGCACGTGTCTGCAACAGGTAAGATTAAATTATCTTCAAACATTAAATTAAATTGTCTTTCGGGTGTTAAAAGTACAAAAAATAGAAAGAATAGCTGGAGAGAAGTCTAGATTCCTGATTTTTGATATTAATTCGAGGTTATTTTTAAAAATACAAGAGTTGAAAGTTTGTGCTCTTGCCGCGATTGTACAATGAGGTTGGAACAGCAGAATTTGAATTACTTTCCCTTTTATATCGTTAATTTCCTAACCAATAGTGAACGTTTTTAATATTTTTTCACATAATTTACTGTTTGATATTTAATAACGTTCTTTCTTGAGCATCGTAATATTATGAGATCTGTTCGTCTACCGGCTTCGGTTCGGCTGGGGACGAACATTACCGAATAATACCGAAGCGGTGCTGACCGGTCTTCGTCGGGAAGGAAGGTCTCGCCATTTCTCTCGCGAACGTCGAAGTGACAAGACGTGTTGAGAGCATCCTTCCGTATAAGTAATAAGTGAGCATTGTATCTATTCAAATATTTTGCATAAATTATAATTCGATCGTTTATTATTGTTGATTACATTTTATGTACATAAATTTGTATTTCTTTTTTGTTACAGATATTTGATGGATATTGAAAGGACGCCACGATATGGGTTTGAAATAGAATTTCGTAAGAATTTATTGTTTTAATTTATTCTAATCAATTATTAACATTTATTATTACTTGTCTTTTATTGAGTCGTTGTTAATTGTAAGCATTTTTGATAATTACTTGCTACCAAAGTCAAGAAAGAAAAGATTAGAGACATTTTTTTTCTTTAACCAATTCATAGAAAAAGAATAATTAATTTTTCATTTTATTAAATAATTTCGTCCAGTATTTTAATACATTTGTTTTAAACTAGAACAAAATTGAAATAATTCGTATTCTACTGCAAATGATTGCTTCTCTTCTGCAATTATTAATTATTTTAAACAAACTATTTTTGTTAAATCGTAGTAATTATATTATAATATCCAGTTTTCGATGCAAGTTTAAATTAAAATAGAATTACGTCTTTAAATCACATGCTGTTTAAGCATGCTTAATTATTGGATTTTGCTTATTGAAAAGAATTAGATAATTTATAACTTACTATGTACGTAATAGAATTTCCAACAATTTTTAATATGCTTACAATCTTAACAACAAAAATCCACTGCTTTAATAAAATAGTTTATTATATGTATTTAACAATGATTTTTTATCCTTGTAATATTCATTGGAATAATTATCAACAATTATTTAATACATTTCGCTATTACGAGATAATCTAGGATCAATATTCAACTTCAATAATATTCGTGTTCGTTGATATTTCTATTTACACATAACAGTATATTTCCATTAAACATAACGCTCAATAAGATGAATGTTTGATTTGTATATTTCTACCCATCCCCAACCTCCTTACTAATCGCTTTTACCAGGAATTGTTGTGGCCGCGCGCAAGGCGGTCGGTAGAGTCAGTGTTTGTACGAATATATTTCCAATGTTTTGATTTTTTCAAGGGTGAACTGGCCCTGAATAGAGTTGCGTTTGTACAATTAGGAATCACGCGAAAGTAGAGTCAGTGTTTGTTGCGTATTATAAAATATTTTCTAGAGTATCGCGGCTCTGCTTTTTCCTTTTTCATCGTGAAAGTAGACTCACTACAATTGTTCGCCGGAAATTATTCACGGTCGCGTTACTAGTATTTCATATCTTTATTTTTATTTTTAATTTTTAATTGCTCGATATATCCGGTATTAGAGTCAGTGCACCACTGAAGAGGAGTCTTGGGCGTTGCTCCATGAGGAAAGAGTGTAAGTATCTTATTACTTTATTTAATTAATTTTAATTCAAATAGAATAATTTACAATTTCAACACTTGATAATTGAGAGTTCTTCTCAATTGCTATTGCTAATATTTTATAAAATTCAATTTCATATATAATTTTATTAGAATAAAAATTGATAATTTGCAAAATTAACCGTAATTCTTTTTTATTTTGTTACAGATGAATTCTTTTATTTTGCCGAGTTCCTGGATATCCTGATGATGGCTTTCTTCACGACTTCCGTCTTGGTACGTCACTTAATTGCTTTTTATTAAAATAGAATAATTTTCAATTTCAACACTTGATAATTGAGATTTCTTTTTAATTGCTAATATTTTATAAAATTCAATTTCATATATAATTTTATTAGAATAAAAATTGATAATTTTCAAAATTAACCGTAATTCTTTTTTTTTTGTTACAGATGAATCTTCTCCTACAAGGCAGCCTCCTACCTGGTGTTGTCCATCCTCCTACTTGACTGTCGGAAGAAGAGTATATCTGCGAACGGTGAGTCGCATGTTTTATGGTTCCTCTGGTACCCAATCATGTCGTAGGACGAATGGTCCGAATCGACACGGGTTACTAGTTGTATACGTGGTTGACAAGCATAGTGACCATGGGTATGATTATACCCATGAGTAGTAACATTTTTATTGTTTCATTTCATTTAGTTCAGGCTAGGTCTTCTTGTACTCCGCGTTTTAATATCATTTCAATTCCACATATTCCAATAGATATTTATGAAATATATGAATGCTCTTAAATGTTCTTAAATGTGGAATTAGAATATTTTAATACCGAAACAATTTTATTTAGTTTGTCTGACTTAGTTATTGCGATGGTTCAAAGTAATATAATATTGATATGTAGTATTATGTAATATGTATACTGGATATACATATTAATGATGCTATTACACTGATTTAATTACATTTTGTACTTTATAAATTCAAATATAATTTGAGAATTTTTAAAAATTTAATTCATTCAATAGAGAAGTTTAACTTATTTAAACGTTCATGAAAAAATGAACAATTTATGTGCAAGAAGACAATTCGTGACGGGTAGATTTCCAAGTCAGAGTGATCTATTTCAACACATTTTGCGTATTCTTGAAAATTTACTCTGAGGAGGGAGTCGCCCGAGGATGTTTTAATTTTTTATTAATTTTCACAATATATTCTTTTTTCATTGTAAAGAATTTTTAATTAGTCATTTTGCTTTTAATAAAATATCAAATTCAATTTTGACATTAAAATCCTTTTTATTAGAGTTTTGCCTTTATTAAATTAGTGTTGCGAAAAATTTCCGACGCGAGAGTAAATATGACGATGCACTGACTAGTATTCGGTGGGAATCCTTTTGGTTTTTAATCTCAATCCTATGTATTATTTAATTAATCAAATTAGTTACAAGGATTCCGCGGCATAAGACCGTGAACACCATCTCTGGGAGATATACCCATGCATTACTAGGCCTTTGCAGGCGCAGCTTTAGAATACGGAACATATGAAAATATGTTACCATATTCTAAACTGTAGTCCTTTTGTCTATACTATGGGCGTCCGTCAATCTGACGCCGTTGGATGCAACGTGTTGGACGGGCGGGTAGCGCTCTTAGCGAAGGGGTGCACTCTGTCCTGGCGTTACGACGTCCAGGCGGGGTGGGTGGTATGTAGCGTCTGGCGTAAGTCTAGGGGGCGTGAGACCCTTCGTTGCCAGCTGATATTAGCAGTGCACCATGTTTGCGTCATAGTTGCTCTATTTTGCTTTTCAGTATTTGTTCTTAAAGCTTTATATTTACAAAGTCGAGTCACTTTTATTAAAATAGTGAAATATTAGCCCGTTAGATGTTTATGTACTAATCATGTTTGTAGATCAGGATTTTCAGGTTTAATCCCTTCCGTGTTTATTGCCAAAGCCCATTCACGTGCCCAGGTGCTACTTGGATGGGTAGAGGCAATGGGCACGACGACCTAGTTCATAAGAATAATAATTAATAAGCGGCTGGCATTGTGTTAGTATATCGTGCACGACGTAATTTCCACATATGGTGTGTGTGTTTTTAGGCTGTG